CGCCTGTATTCACAATATAATACAAAAACCGAAAGTACCATTTAATGGTTTGTTTGAATATGTGCGATGTAAATCTAATTTCATTAAAACTTTAATCAGATTTAATGAAAAATCGAACCAATTTTTACGCCCTTTGTATTATATTCGATATGCCATTGTGCTTTTATATATATAAAAACGCAATTAAAGTACAGATAGGTGGTAAAGATTCTCTTGAAAGTAAAAACATGACACATCTAAAATTGTATTTAATTACTTTTTTTTATATTAAGAAAATACATTTCTACGGAATGAATGCTTCTACTATGATTGAAATAAGATATTTTAAAACATGCTGAAGTTTAATTTATGAATAGCAGAATAGTGTGAGGAAAAGATGTGTATTTAAAAATAGCAGACCGACCTAAAAACAATACAAATTGTAGACGTAAATAAACTGTTCTTTGAGAGTGAAGAATATGAATACAAATAAAATCAGACAAATCTAAGATATTTAAGTGATGGAATATAATCATTTATTGAACATGTACGTTGTATGAAATGGAATGCAGTTCACATAATATTTAGTACGTATGTACAAGGCACATTTATAAACATCATGCAGCAAATAACTGGAGACGTAGGTCATTCATAATAATACCTATTACACAGGCCTGCGATGGTTTTTATTGTGTTACGTATTATAATTTCGGATGGTCTGAAACCGAGCTAAATGATACTTTAAATTCAGTAGTTAAATAAATGCCAATATTTATTCAATTTAGGATATTTGTCAACAAGATTGATACACAGTTTCTTTAATACAAATATCTTTTAATATATAAACAACAATACAATAACAGTTAATACAAATAGTTATTATAAACAATGATTCATATAAAAAGCTTTACAAACTTACAAGCAATATAAAGTATTCTTTTTAGTCTGGAACTTTTTTGATGTTTTATCCAGGGTTCACGATGAGCGAGTTAATTTCGAGTTGACGTAGGTACAATTCACTTAATAGGTAGCAAGCTAGCTCTGTGGTCTTCACTGATCACACGCCGATTTTTCCTACCGATGACGTTAGGTAATGTTTTCATAAAAGTATTAATGTCCTATGTGAATCCACTGAAGTTGAATGATTTGTAATGTTTGAAAGTAATCAACGTTCCTGGTCTATTTATCAGAAGTTCCCGATGAATAAGCGTTAATCACAATTATAGCTTACGAAGTTTATTGTAACTCAATAATATATATACTGTTTTTTGGCGCGTCGCGTTGATTATACTTATAAGCGTGTGGAGAGTTTCTCGAAAATTCATATTACGTAGCAATACAAAGCTACACTAGCGTTTACATACACATATTGTTGATTCTTACACTCAAGAATCTTCAACTTTAGAGAACAAGCGGGAGTGTCGCAACACATATTTAACAGTATACGCTATGTACATTTCTAAATATAAATTAATTTAAACAAACGTCGATATTAAAATTAATATATAATAGTAAATCCGTCAAAATTGTCTTGAAATTTTTACATGCTCTATAGTAATTCCTGTACGCTGAATCCGAAAATGATATCCGTTTTTATCCATCGCGTACACGTTTTTCACAAATCGTCATACGTAACTTTTACACAAGTGAATCATTTTCATTGAAATCCGGGCACATTTTGTAATGATTAAAATGTTGACAACCATTAGCTAAAGATTTCTTTAAAACAATCGTGACGTGATAGTTTTATCGATCGTTCTAGAACCCACGAGAAACCCACCATTAGTATATAAACGGTTAACAGGCAGCATGACACGTCATTTCTGGATAGTATTTGTTTGTGCGTGCACTTTAAAATTTTTTTCAGTATTACTTATTCGTCGCTATGGCAACAATAGGTTGTGTAAATGACCCAAACATTCTGATACATTTGTGGTAAATTTGATCCGAGTTTTTTTTTTTTCTTACCAATTTGCAATAGAAAAAATGAATATTATTTTCAAAATCTACGTAGTTGAATTATGAAAAATTCGTTATTAAAACCAAAACAACTTTTATGAAGTTTAAATTCGCAGGTCTGTGTTGTTTTTGTATTGGTTTTGTTGTACAAAATCATTTGTTGGATTCATTCATTATATCTATAAGAATGGAGCAGTTAGTTAGGTGTTTATTGGATATGTACGTCATTTTTATTGGGCCTAAACGCCACGCACGTATTGTAAACATATTTATCTATTTCTTTATTTTCCTCGGTAAAAAACTTCATTGAATATCTGCGTCGCTTTCTTAATAAATAATTGAAATAAGGCCTCTGGTACAGTTTAAATGTTAACATATTACAGAACGTTTCTAATGTTTTCTTATCTATGAGAGCAGTTCTAATTAGCGGCAAATCCTCTAGAACATTTCTTGCAAGAACACACATTTTAGAACAGTTTAATAATAACAATTTATCCGAAAATTCTACTATGGACAAGCCTTTTATCGTGTTTATCAGGTAAAAACAATTTTTATACCAAATGTAATACAAGCTATCTTAATCACAGCGAAAACTTTAGGAACAATTCTAATCAGAATGAATGCTTTGGGACCAGTTTCAGTCAGATAACTTTCCAAAACTTAGTGTATTTGTAATCGAAACAAACGATCAAAACTGACAGAATGACGGAAGTTTCATTTCAAGTCCAGGATTTTACAGCATCGCTTATTTTATGACATGATGAATGTTTTGTATAATCCACAGAGTTCTTAAGTTAAATCTCTTATTTATTCTGTCACATTTCAAATTTTAAAATTAATAGTATTTTACGTAAAACAGCATACACGAAATTGTTAAAGTGATAAATTAACATTTTAATTCATATCTGAAAACTACTTCAAGTTTCGTGTCGCCAATGATTTATAGGGGCATTTTATTTGAATGGAATATTACGTTCAACAAAAGCTTCTTTCGTCATTCAATTAACGGCTAAAAGGAATTCGAGCCAGATTCTGCAGTGTAAATTACTCTAAATAGATAAAGGACTTATTCATGAGTTTTTATTTGTCTGGTTTATTGTTGATTTCTACACTGAAATAAAACAAAATCATCATTCATTATGATTAATGTAAGATTATATAGCGAACAAGCTATTGGTTAAATGTTACTCCAAAGAATATATACGTGTTGGTGACTCAAGCCTGTCGATCCTTAAAATAGAAGTTACTGGAAATGAAATAAAAGCTCTGTTGATCTTTAGTATAGTTGTTAACAAAACAAACAAATTAGCTTTAATTTTACGACAATAATAATAACAACTTCCTCAATAGTTTTTGTGGTTGCAGGTTACATGTAACAAACGTATATAGTAACGACATTTCAGTTATCAAGAATCAACTGTTGTTTTAACCTTTAACAGGCCCCTCACGAGCCAGTGGGGAACATATTTCTTGAATAAAAAAAAACACTATCCACTCCAGTTTTTCTTAATTTGAGCTGAAATTTTGTGGACATTTTTATTGGCTGAAAAGAAGGCATTTCCCGCACTGTTTTAGCGTTAGGGCTGTGAAAAGTCAGTTGAAGTGGTAAGGTGACTGAAATCCGTCAGCGCATCACGAGCTTAACGGCCAAGCACAAGAAGCACGGAAGTCTCCAAATGACACGCAGAGGTATTCAGGAATCGTAAAGAACCACACCACTTTGGTAGATTCTATGCAATAAAACGAATACAATATTATGCCTGTAGCTGCTTTCAAAGTGTTCCTGTCTGCTCATCCTACTGTTGACTATCGTGATGCTTCGACTTTTCCTACAGAATCGCTGGTGAAACCGTTCGTATTTCAATTGAAAGTTAAACATAAAAAAGGTGATAGCAGTAGCATAAAAGGTTGGCAATTGCTTAATTAACGATGCTGAGAATGTGGCTTTGTTGATATATAATGAATTTACTCCCAGCGAGTAGACCTTAGTACTAGCTAATATGGAGACTTGAGGATGCTATTTTTCACTTACAAAATTATCAATTAACAAACGAGAACTTGTCTCGCAGTTGTGTCAAAAAGATACGTCTAGAACCAACCTCTTTGGGAGTTTTCGGATTGAACGTACTTTTAGTATTCAACAAATTGTAGTGTAAAGACACCCCTTGGCTCCTAATGGACGTGTTAAAAATACTAATTTGACGTCTTATGTTTGCTAAATCAGTTTTAATATTTTCCAAGAAAATTGTTTTCATTAATTGTAGATACCGAACTTGTCCAGATTTCTGTTGTCACTAAAACTGTTGTGATCCAAAAAATTAAATTTCTTAAAAAAACAAAAAAACTTCTACTTTAACTTTTAAGCTTCGTTGTAGCTACTTTTTTTTAAAGTTGAATCCCTCCTCCTCCTATTCTTTTATTTTTGAAATAATGTACTTGTTATTTGTACATGTATGGGACCGACTGTAAAAATGGCTATATATACCCAATGTTTCCGAATACGTTTATGCTGTTTTTTAATAATTCATTTTTCACTCCAAGAAATATTTTGAGCACGTCGTATTAGGGCTATCTTGCAATAAGATAAGTTTTTAAAAGTAATAATGTTCCAATATAGTATATTTTGTTTGCCAACTGAAAAAAAAATTCAGTTTTTAGAAAAGAATAAGTCGCACTGTTTCTATTGGTGAAATATAAATTTCACTATAATAATTATACAGTAAATATCACCAGCCGTAAGTCAATACCACCTCCGTACACTAGCCTTGCGTCTCGATTATATGCGTTATGCATTTATTTTGCCATATCCTATTTTATTCGTGAATAAAGAAGAGTTTTGCAAAATAACTTAAGAGTAAAATCTCTGTAAAATTCACGAATCATGTCCATGCATAGTGCAAGAACGGATATTTGGTGATCATAACACACATACACAAATAATAGAATGTGTTTTTAAAATAATTAACTTTTAGTTTTATACATATATTTATAGAATGTCGTCTAATGTAAAGTTAGCAGTATATTAATTTCAATAAAAATGCAAAATGACATGCATTACTCACCGCTCTTTAGAACTACGACCTCCAAGAAGAAAATTAGCCACACCAATCGGATCATCGTCAAGCAGCATGGGAAAGTGAAGAAACTCGAAAAGTTCAGGTGTTCGTGCTTTATCAGTGTCAAATATTTGTAGGTTTTCTAAACGAATTTCAAGCTAAAGCTTTTCCAGCGACGTTGTTCGAACTTAGTACAGGAGATTCTTAAATACATTCAGATTTCATATTGTTCAGTTCGATCAAAGTCATGAAATGGTATTCTAATAAATTCAGCACAATGCATAAGCGTTGTTCGTTTCCACTTCCAGAGGGAATGTCGTATCACCAGGATTTACTGGAGCCTATTATTATGAGCGAAACGACGAATTATTTTTTGGACAGTTCCTTCACGTCTGCTAAGGGTAAAATAGCTCAGACATAATATTTTCTTGAGTGGTCTTTTTCTGATGACAGCGCCCTACTACCTCGAAACTTTCCGATTAATTCTATTGACCAAATACCCACAGCAGCTTCGAAGTGACTGCCGTGTGTGGCTTGCACAAGATCAAGACAGAGAGCTATATAACACAGCAGCGCCTCCTTTGAAAGGTATAACTCATCGATTCAACCATGTGCTTAATTGTACAAGTGACTAGAGACTATTTTTATTATTAAGACCCAAAATATAGCAAGATATTGAAGGATAAATTTAGAACCAAAATCTGAAAAATATTAAGTAAAAATGAAATCAAATTTAAGAAGTTAAAAGTATTACGTCAGAAAAATTGATATTACTTGGAAGTAGAGACCTCTATAAACTATTTGTTACATAGATTTAATTTATATTTTTTCATTCATATAACTTATTGATATGCTTAAATTAGGTGATATCAATAGATTTAAAATATGCAAGTTTGTTTAAAGTAATAACTACTTGATTTTGATAACATTTTGAATATTACTATTTTCACTAATCTGAGGGTTTGTGTTAATATTGTGATTTAATACGAGATATGTCAAATCCTCTAGAATTTGAGTTGCGGTATTTATTGTTACGCGCAAAGCTACGCCAGGGGCTATCTATGGTCTGCCCACCACAAGTATCGAAATCAGAATTTTAGGGTCGTAAGCTGAGACACTGGGAGAGAGCTTAAAATTTCAGATCAACATCGCCAATTTTATTTAAAAAATGAATAATAAGTTGAAAGCATAGAAATATTTGAATAATCCATTGAAGCGGGATAAGTGATTTGTATAAATGAAGGAGGGTTAATTCCAGGCTAAGTCAAACCGGCTGAAAATTGAAAAAATTGTTTGTTTCGTTGGCTTAACGGGAATGGCAGGACGGCATGAGTGTGTCATTCGCTATGCAGGTTTACTGAATACGATCGAACAGAAAGTATGTTCGTGTTATACATGCGGTAATAAACATCATTTTCCTTTGGCGTCGGTCCCACGTAACAACTAGTGACATTAAGACATAAGAAAAACAGACGGATAACTATATATATATATATATAGAGAGAGAGAGATTTCTTAAACTAACTCCCAATACTTATTCAATTATTAATTTATGATTTATTAAAACCAGTCCACGAAAATTTCTTACTCATGTGTCTCGAAATCAATACTCTGTAAGATAAAACAGATATATAGTCAATTCTACATTCATAGAATTATATACTAGTATTTTTAATTATACAATCATAGGATTATTACTGGTATCGTGGATTCTACGTTTAGAAGACCATACATTGGAATTTTCGTTTTGATATATAATGGATTATACACTGGTATCATTAATTCTACATTCATAAGATTAAACACTGGTATAATTAATTCTACATTCATAGGATTATACACTGCTATCATTAATTCTACATTCATAGGATTATACACTGGTATCATTAATTCTACATTCATAGAATTATACACTGGTATCATTAATTCTACATTCATAGGAGTATACACTGGTATTGTCAGTTTTATATTCGTATGATTATACAGTGGTATCGTCAGTTCTACTTTAAGAGATACATTGATATCGTTAGTTTTATATTCATAGGAATATACACTTGTAGTGTCAGTTTTACAGTCATACGAATATTGTTGGTACTGTCAGATTTCCGTTGTTTTAATCCCATGCATATTTGTAAAACTTATTTTTCAATGAATGATTTAGTGAAAAAGCTGCAACATATTTGTTTGTTTGTTTATAATTAAGCACAAAGCTACACAATGGGTTATCTGTGCTCTGCCCACCACGGGTATCAAAACCCAGTTTCTAGCGTTGTAAGTCCGCAGACATGCCGCAGTGCCACTGGGGGCGCTGCAACATATAAGCCCATATTAAAATAAATTGTAATATAACATTATATAAGATGATAAGTTTGTTTGTTTGTTTGGAATTAAGCACAAAGCTACACAATGGGCTATCTGTGCTCTGCCACCATGGGTATCGAAACCCGGTTTCTAGTGTTGTAAGTCCGCAGACATACCGCTGTGCCACTGGAGGCGCTGCACATATAAATCCATATTAAAATAAACTGTAATATAACGTTATATAATATGATAAGAGATTGAAGATCCAATAAATGCTCCAACATATTCTAAATAACGGTAGAAACAGCTTTCACGGCTGATTAGGGATTTATTATCCACCTGAGTAGAATTTAATTGCAATTGATTAAGGTCGTTCTACATTCATATATGGTTCGAACTCCTCAAGGACGAGTTTTTATATGAACGACGTGTCACTCTCTGTGCTGATACTTCTTTCTCAAACACCTCCTTCTAAAACTCTTGTTAATGAATCATTAATAATTATGTTTTGAAAAACGTTCCAAGATTTTTATCATTCTGTGATTAATTATTTGCGAATAACAGAACACGACACATGCACATCAAAATAAATATTTATTAAAACGCCTAGAATTATTTTATCTTTACTAATAACTTATTACATTTTAAATTTTCAATGGAATAATAATTATTTTACTGTTATTTTTGTAATAAATTAGTGCCATATGTTTCCATTAGTAAATTTGCATTAAAAAGTGATTTGTATGATGAGTTAAAAATAAAGCAGATTTAAAAAAGAACCGTTTCCTAAGCTTTCATGTTTAGTTTTGAAAAGAAAGAAAAATATTCATGGACTGTATGTAGTGTCTTTCTACCATAGTAAGTGGCATTATTACCTGAAATAATCCCATAGTATTAAAGACACGTGAAATCAAAAGCTCAATCAACATTTAAATACAAAAATTGTATTACAATTTTGTGGCCTGGCATAGCCTGGTGTCTAGGGCACTTAACTGGTAACCTGAGGTTTGCGTATTGAATACCCGTCTCCGCACATGCTCGCCTTTTTAGCTGTGGAGGCGTAAAAATGTGACGGTTAATCCTATTGTCACTAATTATAAAAGGCTTATTCCCTTTGTCACTCTGTCGAGAACGTTGTCACGCTTCTTTTTTTTCTTTTTTTTTTGGTGATGCTCAACAATATACATCATCGTTTAGCAACAAAACTGTCACCGGATTATTTCTTAGGTCAATTATGGTGTTTATGTTGAATGCTCAATATTCATGTTGATTTCTTAGAAAGGTTTGTTTTTTTATTCTTTACTTTTTGATATCTTCGGTGATGTAACAGCAAAATAGTTTAATTCAGAAGTTTTATAATGTTGAACTGTAGCCTAAAGAAAATTTAATTTACTAAGTAGTGTTTTAGCTATGTATTAGGCCTAATGCATAAATTAGACCATAAATAGGCCTACTATTACTAACGTTATAGAGTCAGTGTTTAAAAAGTTTTAAATGGTGAATAAATGTTAAATAATTAATATTCTTTTGTATTTTAACACATATATTATCTACTTGGTCTTAAAACATGAAGAAAGATAAACGTTTTTTACTACCAAATGTATTTTATCTTTTGCACAGTTGAAAATTTGTTTTGGAATGTCCGCAATATGTTTTCTACTTCTGACCAAGAACAGTGAAAAGGCTCAAGAGTGCTATTTAAGTCTCTTTAAGAGTGCGTACGTACTTTTGTTCACGATAACATTTCATTTTTCTGCGTAGCTTTACTAAAAATTTGTTGATTAAAAATTACTTCGAGATTGATGAAATCAGTGAAGAGTAGGTGAATTTTGGAGGTTTAGTTTTTGTAATTAAGCACAAAGCTACACAATGGGCTATCTGATGCTCTGCCCTCCACGTGTATCGAAACCCGGTTTCTAGCGTTGTAAGTCCACAGACTACCATTGTGCCACTGGGGGGGGGGCAATTTTGGAGGTACAGACAAATTCGTTTTAGGTACATTCTATAATTTTCGCTAATCATTCAACAATGGTTTTCTGTCGTTTTTGTTGGGCTTTTATACTAGTTTGTTGATAAAAGAGTTGAGGATTGGTGGTGTTGATTAAATGTTTTCCTTCTAGTCTTTCACTGATGGTGCATGGGCATTTAAGATGACTCAACGGTCAGGACTTAAAAACAAACATTAAAATTCTAAATCGGTAAACAAAGAATTCTCTCTCACAGTTATTACAAACATATATCTTATTGTAAATACACATACATACACGTTCTAAGTACCAGATATTTAGTTGTATATACTTAAAACCCAATATCATTACGGATAAATTTAAATTCGAACATTTATCAAATGTGGTTTAACTTAATTGTCACGGGATCAGTTTTTCTCACAACCGCATAGATGTATTACGTTAACATGTTTCTCAACTGGATGTAGTGTAAACGTAATTTCTATGTACGAGCTGGTATGTTTATTATTTCAATAAAGAAAAAACACTGCAGGGGAGTTTATAAAAATATCTTTCGAACAGGTTAATATATTCTAATATAATCTAACACTGCTCTTTGAAAGATATTGTCATACTTTTAAACCTGCCCATCGATGACTCAGCAGTAAATCTCAATATTTAAAATGTTAGAAATCGGGTTTCTATATCCGCTATGGGCAGAATATAGATAGCTCACCGTGCAGCTTTGTAATTAACAACAACAACAAAACTAACTAACTAAACCCTTTAAAACACTCGTAGAAGCGTAGGGGTATTTCAATAGTACATTTTCCTGCAAAGTATCAGCTTGTCATTCACCCCAAAAACTGGTTGTAAAAAACTGGGCCTTAAAGATTATAAAGAGCCTTGTTATTAGTAAATATTTCATATTTTGTACTATTATTTTGGAGTGAAACTATTTCCTTCTTTCCTTTTTTGGAAATTTGATGGTAACGTGAAAAAACAAAAAAAAATGTATAACTCCAGAAAACGACGAGTGCGTGAATTTCAAGAGCAAATATGAATTTAATCGACCATGAATTGTTTTCTTTCCTTGTCTCGATAATTGTGTATTGATCAGACAAGAAACTAAAAACAAGTTTTTTTTCGGTGATATCACTGTTCCTATTGAATTTTTATAGGCGTATTACTATATTTTAGTGTAAGGGGTTTATTTTTATTTGT